AAAGGGTGTTTTATGGTTGCTTGTATTATCCTCAGATAGTGGTTTGTTTAAATAACTAGTGACATTTTAATAAATATTGCAAAAAAGGGCTCCAAAAAAGGCATATATCCTGGCCGGCTTAGCCAGTGTGTATTTTTTCAAGCACCACAAGATTCATAGTTTATAAAGTACAATTCTGGGCCATTGATTGTGTCATTTCTCCAAACTCATACAGTAAAAATTGTTGTTTTTTAAGCCTTAAAATGGTGCAGGAAAAGGACTTTACATTGTATTATACTTAAAGACAGGACTATTCAGTTAAGAGAAGAGAAAAATGGAAAGAAAACTGTTATAATGGGTGATGTAACATTAATGACAGACATAATATGAGGTCCTTGGCACACATTTTGTGATCATGGGGCATCACCCTTACAGCATCAGGACAATATCATATGGAGTCAGACACTGGAAGTGTGCTGGAGGCGTTGACTGGGACTGATGGAAGGATGAGGCTGATGAGACTGAAGAATCTGCGAGGAACGAATTAGCGGCTGAGAAATAGTTATATATTAAAAGACAGCAGCATCATAAGAGGGCAACCAGAGTGACAGAGTGTGTTACTTTGCTGAAGGATATTACTACTAACAATACATTGAAGTAATTTTACTGTGTACTTTTTGAGAAATCCTCTGTCAAAGTCCCCTGCTGAGAACAAAATCAAGCCACTTCTGCTAAGTTTGATGAGGGAATTATTTTTTGTTGCCATTAGTTCTTCGTGAGATTGATCCTGTTGGACTCAGTACTACTGAAACTACCCCCACAAGTAGCTACTATGAAGTACTTACTGTGTACTTTTCCAGTAATCCTCTGTCAATGTCCCCTCCCGAGTACAAGAATGCATGTTTTTCTTTTAATAAGCGTTAAAAAACATTTCTTCCTGAGACTGATATTGTTGGACAGAGTATTTTAAGAGGATGGTAGACATGATATCAGCAATACTTCCAGTCAGTACTCCGGCAGCAGCATTTTTACACCTTGGAACTTCTTTAGAGACTGGCCTGGATAGGCTACTATGGAGGGGACTCTGACAGAGGATTACTCACAAAGTACACAGTAAAAGTACTTCATTTCATTTCTGGTAGTGGAGCACCCATAAGGTTGAGATTGTCTACCTGCACATGCATGTTTATACCACAAGGGGGCAGATCACCTGATGGTTCATCATTGTTTTATGCTGGAGATGAACAGAAGAAGTGTGTCTGTGTGTTGTGCTTTGAGATCGTTTGAGATGCTGACATCTTGCACATGTGCCTTGTGGAAGTTAATAAATGAACGTTTTCTACACCTATAATACCCTTGCGGTCTGAGTGGTGTAACAGTAGCAGTCAAATTAGTACAGAGTCCAACAGTGTCAGTTTTATTAAGAACTTGTGGACAAAAATATTTGTATCACTCATTGAATATAACAGGGGAAAAAATGAAGAGCAGCTGATTTGAAAAATCAAACTCGAGAGACGGCTGAGGTGACCATGGTGCCAGAAAGCCACAAGTGGGACAGAGCTCTGTACTACTTGTGGCACAAACATACTCTAGAGTTTTTTACCAAAGGTTCTTAATAAAACTGACACTGTTGGACTCGGTACTAGTTTGACTGCTACCAGAAATGAAATTAAGTACTTTTACTGTGTACTTTTTGAGTAATCCTCTGTCAGAGTCCCCTCCATAGTAGCCTACATAATGTATGTTTATCTGCTCTCTTTGATGAGTGATACAAATACAAATTTACCATTAGTTCTTAATGAAATTGATACTGTTTGACTTTGTATTAGTTAGCCTACTACTACAATACATTGAAGTAATTTTACTCTTTACTTTTTGAGAAATCCTCTGTCAAAGTCCCCTGCTGAGAACAAAATCAAGCCACTTCTGCTCTAGAGTATGTTTGTGTGGGACAATGTGGCCCGTGGGAACTGTCAACGGGGGGTGGAGAGACACTATGGACGCTCGTGAACTGTCAGCGTACACTGTGAACCTCTGTCGCCTGTCAGCGCAACTTACATGATGCCGTTTATAACCATAGACTGTATAAAGTTTAAAACATATAATAATAATAAAGGGCGGTGCCGGCCGTCAGCGAACCGAGCCGGCCTTTCTCCGCATCTGATTCATGTCATAAATCAGATTTTAGAAAAGCGTTTTAGCCAATCAAAATGAAATATGCGGGACATCTACATCTACCAGACGGCTGAGTTGACCGCAGTGCAGAATCGCTGTATAGTTCAAATCTCCTAACAATGTTGTCCATTTTAGAAATAGGCCTATTATATTTACAGCCCTTAATAACATTCATTTTCTGGGCTCAAAGTGTGTCTTGGCCGTTTTCATTGTGATCGCTAAATTCCCCTTGTTTATAATAATCACAGTTCCTTCATGAGGATACTGTAGTGATTCAAAGTGTGATTTTAGCATAGCCTACGAGTGCTTTTGTTTTGAAATCACTTCCGTGAGTTTCGTCTGCGCTCTTATTTTGTAAGGTAACTTCCGGTAGCAGAATATGAAAAAACGGTAGTTTTTTTGTTTCTGTTTTCTAGTGATTATATTTTTTGTTTTGAGAAGTAGAAAATGAAAATCATCCCGTTTTTTAAGTTTAGTAAATTCCTTTTTGACCGTGATAAAGAAAAACGCCTTGTATTTCAATTTTGTTTTTTCAATTTGAAAACGAAAATCAAATATCCAGTCGTTTTTTGTTTTTGAATTTCCATTTGTGAAAAGAAAATCCAATGACCAAAACATACACTGACCTAAAACGCTATCGAAGCAGTTCCTGCCGTTGCTACGTAGTTCAAACAGTAACAACGGACTATTTTAGTTAGTTAGCAGTTTAACATCCCACATTTCTAAGCAGATTTTTTTTTAAATAATTATGTATTTTATAATTATTGTTGGACATTTAATTTAATTGACTGATAATGTTTGCATCATTTCAATCATATCATTTAATCCTGGTCAACCATGCACATCCCTTAGAAACTGTCCTAAAAGAAATGCCAACAAGTTTGCCATTATTAAAGTTATTGTTGGCTTCATGGCATATGAAATATGAAATCAAACTTACAGGCTCTATTTATAGAAATGTAGTTATGATTCATATAGTGCACTTTTTCCTTATTTTATAACAACTGACCAGGAAAATACCTCTGACTCACCCTGCACACCTCAGATTTGTTCAGAGATTCAAATTAATAAAGGGAAGCTGCTTTGTTTACCTCTTAAAGTTTTGGGCCCAGAGGATTGCTGTTTTACTGTAACACAGCATTTATATAAAATACAAAACAGTCAAATGTAAATGTAAGAATGAGGAAAATCCAAATGTTTAAACCAAAGAGAACACAGTATATTATGTGAGTTATTCTATTAATTGACATGACCTCCATTCACAGACTTCAGTCAGTTTCTCTGCAACTTACCTTAAGTGACAGGGACAGTTGGGAGAACTTATCTGTATCTACACAGACTGGCTCACATTTTGTCTGCAGAATTAAAAAGTTGGAAAGGGTCCATTAAATGCAGTGGTGCCAGTTGTTGATTAATCTGCAACAGTGAGTTCATGATGGTGGTGAAACTGTATGAGCTGTGGATAAAACCTTCATATTTGCCTTATTGATATAGATGTCACAGTGTAGTGAGGTGAAGTCATAACAGTCTTAAACTTTTCCTTCTCACGACATGTAGTCTGCCATGATTTCTGTACAGCAGCAGACTGCTGTCATGTCAGACTTTATATCAATCTTACAATCAGGGTAGATAAATAAGGACTCCTCTCAAATTGAGGGTTATTTTCAGCCATCCTTGATAAACAATAAAAACACTAAAGCCCCCTTCTGTAACCTCAAACTCTCACATGACACAACAATATGCCAAGTCTATGAATAGCAGAACAGACTCATTTTCACCCTTCAGGAACACTTTCAGCAATCTGTTTACTTAAACTTAGTTGTCCATGGCACTTTCATTTCATATGAAGCAACACTTCATTAAAAAGCTGCAACAACTTGAAACTTGTTATTAATAATTATTAGCCAAATGATAAAGGAGTCAGTTACACCAGCCCCTCAGCACAAAGCCACTTTTTATCCAGTCTCACATGATGAGAAAACCTAAGCTGGAAAACTTATGAAATAAATACTAGTTATCAAAACTTTACCTTAATGCGGCTGCACATACAGTATAAACCTATACGAAGACTTTGGGAATTTATCCAGATGGCACCTTGAATGGTAACCAGATATAATGTGTGTGAATGCTGGCTTGTTTGGTAAAGCATTTTGTGTGGTTGCTAAGAATAGAAAAGCACATTATAAGTGCATTTACCATCATGTTTGATGAAAAGAAGACAAGTAGAAACATTTACTTTGTTAGTATTCATAATAGTTTGTATACACAATGTATAGGAGCACCAATAAAAAAACATATTTTTTTCCAAACCTTTTTTTCAACGTTTTTTTAAAAAGCCACAGATTTTTTTTCGACAGAAAGCAAAGAAAGCTCTGTACATGAACAAGCAACAACATAATTCCTCTTCATGAGCTGGAAAGTAAACAACTCGGCTGCTCAAATTCATTTTCATCTCTGAAGCAAAAATAATAAAAAAAACATTTAAAAAAACAAGACCAGCTGCCTGCTGCTTACCTAGGACACTACGTTACACAAACAGCTTTTTGATATTTAAAACACAAGATATGTATAAGAAATGTACTTTTCAAAAATTGTGAAAAAGTGCAATACAGGTTCAACTGTTTACAACTCAATAGATTATTTCCCAAATGGAGTCCGGTCCTTTTTCTTCCCCGTTTGTTTTCAATCATTTTTTCCCCAAAACGTGTTCCTCGTTTGTATCCATAGTTAAAATCTCTTACAGATATATTGACATTCATGACGATGTACATTTATGAGAAACATGGTATTCACAAAAGTAGAGCAAATGACTATGATTGCAAATGACAAATTCTTTGGGTAGAGGGTAATGAAAAACTAGTTTATCAGATTTGTGTATAGAACAAGCTTCTTTTTTTTTCATACAAAAACTACCATGTAAAAAAAAAATCCGGGAGTCCTATTTAAAAGGCCAACATCTTTGCATCTTGTAAGATTTGTTAAAGAACCAGGGCATTTGATGAAGAACAGCAGGAAAAGAAACAGCAAACACACGTTGCTGTGGGAAAACGCACACATGGTTGAGCAGTACGGACACCTAAAACCAAATATTGGTTTTTGGGAACGACACACGCTTTTGATCACTTCTCATACAAAAGATAACTGGTCTGTTGCAGGTGATTGATTGATTGATTAATGGGTGATTTCTTCTTTTTGCAGGGGTGGGGGTCAGCGCCCTGAGTCCTACTGTAGGTACCCCTGACCTGAGAGGGGATACTGTCCCACAGAACTACATAGAAACGCAGCACACCTCCGAGCGACATCTGCAAAAGCCAAGACGTCTCCAACATACAAACAGGTTGGTAAGGCTTTTAAAATGGAGCTCCCACATCAAACAAAAGACTGAGAAATAAAAGGTTTTTAATGTACATAGGGGACAACACTATGCCAGAGAAGAATGTACTGTAAAACACATCCGGCTTCTCTCCCCTTTTGATATGAAAACTGAGCTTCAGGACTCACTCTTAATCCCACCTTTCATCCAAAATAATAATAATGAAACAATGGGAAACATCAAAAGAATGAGGCAGTTTAAAAAAAACACAACATATGTACATGTTTATAAGGATATGTGTGTAAAAAAACAATACAATAACATAGAAAATAATAAAAAGTCATGGCACAATATATGACACAAGGGGATAAAAACAGAAATAAAATGACAAGGTTTATGAATGTAGGCTTGTAAAGGGGGAGGGGGGGCTGATATCCAATGTTCACTTCACTGAAACGGCCCAATAGATATACAAAATGCACAAAGAAAACACTAATCAAACAAACACTGTGTGTAGACTGCGCTGCATGAGCACCAACATCAAAACCAGCATATTTTTGGACTTTCTCCTTTTGACTTGACATTGAAACCATTGTCTCATCTTGAGCAAACGTTCGCCACAAAAAACCTTACGTACATATTTTTGCTGAGGAAAAAATTCACAATCTTCCGGTTGAAAGCGACCAATGTTTTAAAGTTCATTGTCTCTGAGAATGGTTCTTCATAAAAGATGAAGCGCGTCACTTTGTCTTCCCTCTCATGGCAATCTCCTTCCTGAGACTGAGCAAGGTAAGCCGAAAAAAGTTTCAGTCTGGAGTTTGTTTGTTTGTTTCTGCAAGGGGACGTGAGAGTTTGTTTTGGGCACAATAAGCTATTTTGTGTCCACCAGCATCTGGCTCCCAAGGTTCCTGTTTGGGTGTGTTTGTTTGACTTTAGAGTGTGTGTCTTTCCGTGTGTACGTGTGGATGACAGAGAAAGTGTGTGTGTAGGTGTGTGTGCGTGCTCATGGCGCTGTGGTGATGGCGTTGAGGTCCTTCATGAGACCCTCGAGGTGGGCCATCTCCTCGGTCAGCTCGTCGGGCTCGTAGCTCTGAGGGAGAGGAACAGGGTTACTGCGGGGGGCGGGGGAGGGGCAGGGTGCGAGGGAGGCAAGCACCTGGAGGCAGGAAGGGAGGAAGGGAGGAGAAGAGAGGAAAGGAGAGGAGGAGAGGGTCAGTCAGGGATCTTTCAGAGGATGGGGGGGTTGTATGGGTGGGATGAGGCGAGCTGGGGGATGGGTCAATGGGATTGAAGCGTCGTAAATGGCAGAAACAAAAAGAGGCAGCAGACAAAAGCAAAACATTCAAAAGAGACGCCAGCAGATGTTCAACAGCCAATCATGGATTAGGAGGCGGAGGAATAAATAAATGGTAATAAATAAAGTCATTCCAGTTATGGGGCATGTTAAGATTAGTTGTTAGAATTTAAATAAATTGATCAAAAGGCAGGCGACAACAGCATAACAAAATGGTGAGATTGAAGTTGGAAAGAAAAAAAAGAGAGAAAGAACAAACAGAAAATGTGGTTAAAACCAATGTCCAGTGGAAGTAACCTTATAATCCAGTGCCCAAAGAAAAAACATGGATTTGGAAGGAATGTGTGATAGGTATACTTTTAAAAGACAAGACTAAATAGTTACCAACCATTAGGCCTGGCAATAAGACAGTCTGCATTTCTAAAAGCTGCCAGAGTAGGGCGCTATACTCACGCTGTCGACATCTTCCAGCATCTTGCTGGTCTCTGGTACGTCAGGGGCGTTGGGCACGGTGACGATCATCGGAGTTCGTGTCCTTCCTAGTGTTCCAATAGAGGCTGTTTTAACAACATGGGGGTGAGTAGGAATCCCTGAATGTGACAAACACGTGCACAACAGTCAGTGAAGGCAACAAATGACAGTAAATCTAAAAAAGTGCTCTTCGAAGTGTAAAAAAACCGATAGCCTTAGGCGCGTACTTTTCCCCGTACTTTTCCCCGTACTTTTCCCCGTACTTTTCCCGTTTAGTTCCGTTTAGTTCCGTTTAGTTCCGTTTAGTTCCGTTTAGTTCCGTTTAGTTCCGTTTAGTTCCGTTTAGTTCCGTTAGTGCCTGGAATTTTGCGTTCACACCAAAAAGAGTACTTAGTTCTGCTAGAGAGGTGGTACTATCCTGGGGAGAAAAAAGTACCAATTTCGATTGGCTGGGCGAATTGCAAACCACGCCCCGTAAAACTCTGAAAAGTTTTGTGAAGCCGCCATCGTATTTGCTGGCATTAGCATTAGCATTAGCCCCGCGCACCAACGGAGAGAGAATAACTTATGGCAACACAAAATAAAACATGGGAGCGGTGGAGTGATGAGGAGGTGTCGGCGTTCTGGCGATTTACTCTGAAGGCTTCAGTAGAAGCTGCTGGGAGTCCCAGCAGCTTCTACTGAAGCCAGTCCCCAACTCCGGGGACTTCCGGCCGGGAACTTCGGGTGGCAGTATACGCCGTGAAGTGGTTTGCGGCCTGCCAGTAAACCCAAAGCAGAAGAAGAAGAAGTGACGTCAGCGGCTCATTTGCGTAATCTTCCCTCAGGGAACTTATTCCGGTGTGAACGCGATCTGTACTAAGTGCCCTGGGGTAATAAGTGCTGGCACTAAGTGCGGCAAAGTACTTGGTGTGAAAGCGGCTCTTGAGTCACTTTCTTCATGTGTCTGTCAAAATAACATGCTATGTGAATACGTTTTGAATGTGTCTTCAAAGTTTTATAGAGCAGATTCATTTTGTCAAAAAAATGTTGTGAAAAATGCCATAACACAAAAATGTTGCAATAGGTGAGGATTTCTTCATTATGGTGAACACACACACACTGAATTTTGTATCACATACACAATCCTGATGCAGGAAATATTCAAGTCGGTTACTGAGGCAAGTAGCGATTTCCAAATATTAACTATTTACTTTTTTAAGTAAGTAAAAAATAAGTTAACATAACCTTTAATTGTAAGAGAAACATTTATGTGACAAAACATAACAGTTAAGAATCGAAATGTAATGTCAAGCAAGTTCTCGATTGTTGTAATGCAGGTGAAAATATAAATAAAGAACTGTTGATTATCTGTTAATTTAATTCAATAATCTGTATCTAATGAATAATAATCACATGCTGCAACTTTTGGATTTCTTTTAGATCCCTGGTGTGTGTGTTAAATATGAGTGTGTTTGCTCACCGGCCTGAGCGTGAAGCTGTGGGCTGGGCAGGGCGGACGACTCGTACGACGGATGGCTGCCGGCTGGGATGGCAGGCACGGCGAAGCTCTTGAGGGGGTGGGCGTGGGCGTGGGGGTGTGCCGAGCGGAGGGGGGGGCAGGTTGCTGGAGTAGCTGGGCTCTTCCTCGGTGGTGGAGGAACCGTGGTAACTGCCCTCAGGGTCCACCATGATCTCCGAGGGGCAGGAGACCTGGGAGGAGGCGGTTGCTGGGGGGAGGGGCTCTGAACTGGGGGTGTTCCTCACCGACTCTGGAGGGGGGCCGAGGGGTTCAGAGAGAAATCATGAGCAGATGTTCACAGGCTCACAACTTTTTACATTCACAGGGAACGATAACCAGCTTCATACTGTCACTTTCCAGTTAGCTAGAGAACTAATGCACTGCGTTAGAGAAAATGATAAGTCTTATATCAACTTTGTACTGATTGTGTTTTCTATTTTGTTATTTTCTACATAATTGAACAAATCATTCAAGAGAATATTCTTAATAAATCTGCTACTCAATTAAGTCTTTTTATAGCAAAAAATTCCAAAATAACTTGATCTCAGCTTCTCCAATGTGAATATGAACTATTACTAGGGAAATTGTGATGGGTATTATTCAGTTATTCTGGACATTATACAGACTATATAGTTGACTGAAAAAATAACACAAATGTTCAGTTGAAGCCCTGCAATGCAAACAGTCAACAATAATCCATATGTTTTGTAAATGGAACAGCCGAGACAGTCGAGCTCTCAGCTGTCACTGTAACTGAAAAACAGACTAAAAAGTCTGACATGCGTCAATTTGGAAAAAGTAGAAGTTAGTAAAAGAGAGCATATTGAAACTTTTTCAGCAGGCAGGAAGTTCAGAAAAGAGGTTAGTAACAAAACCTTTGCAAACTAAAACATGAACGCAGCATGTGAATGAATAAGAACATGATTATTAAATGAATGAATATGACCAGTGTCCCTCTCTGTATGTCTCCTACTGTCCAGCAGGTGGCAGTGTCTCACCTGTAGAGTCCACCCTCTCTAGATGGGAGATGGGGGTGGCACAGGCGTGCGGGCGAGGGTGCCCGCCGCCCTGGTGGTACATGTAGCTGCGTGTCGGCGACGCCAGGCTGCCCATGTGATAATGGTGGTGATGGTTATCAAGGGAATGGATGGGATGAGCACTAATCACAGCTGTGAATGGAAATGGACATGGATACAAACACACACAAGACAAGATGTTTAACAAGCTGTAAAAATGATGAATGGCATGGAAATAATGCTGGTGAGATACACACACATGCAGCTGTAATAAACACACTTGAATATTCTCTTTGTCAAAAAAATTCAGGATGGAAGACAAGCAGAAAAATAAATGATAATGATTATTTTCTAGGTAGCATGACATGGAAAGATAGATAGATTTGGAGATCTGTATTACGTTGTGCTCTAATCAACACGTTTTATGCTAAAACTTTCCAGATCGACTGCTGTCTGTTCATTATGAATGACTTATCACTCTCTCACACACTCACACACACTTACGCTGAGGCGGCTGTGAGTCAAAAGGCATCATCATTTTAGGCCTCATCCCTCGTCGGCCTGCTAGTGTAGACATGCTGTCCTCTGATTCGTGGCCTAAAAGGTACGGTGGAAACCAGCCAATCAGAACGATTTTTTTGGTGAATGATCCGGGTTTTTGATCTCTAAATCTCACACACAGCACATGAACTAGTTACATTGAGTGGATTCACTGTACTGTGGAAGTTGTGATCATAACAATGGACATTATGTATGAAAAGCATGAAATGTGTTGCATGATAACCACAGAAAAAAACACCAGCAAGCACAAGTGTTGACTTGTGAAACAAAAACACCATCCCACTTTCTCCATCCTCCTGCAGTCATCCCCCTGGAAACAAACTTGGGGGTGTTAGCACATTTCCTGCCTTAAAACCAAACTGTTTTCTTAGTCAAGCCCCCAGAATCGACTTTCCTGTCTGCCCGCCAAACTCAAGAAGTTTGCTCAGGATTATTATGCATGTAATTCAAGCAGCAACGGTGACATTTCAATTTGATCCTTTCCCATAACATTTAAGTTAAATTCTTCCCCCCCTCGGCGAGACTGACCGCGGTAGGAGTTTCGCCGCTGCTGGAGGTGGGGGTTGTTCTCTAGGCTGCTGTCAGCCGGCGTGATGTCCTGCGAGGTGCGGGGGATGGGCGTTTCCGTCATGACTGGGTTGGGATCCGGCGACTTGTCCATGGGTTTGAGTTCCAGCCTCTCGTGGTGAATCCAAAGATCAGGGGGCTTCAGGTCTTTGGAGTTTCCCTTGTATTTGTGTGAGCCGTTTGAGGATTTTGAGGCAGCCCGCTTTCTGCAGAAAGAAAACACAGACGTATCAGTGAGAGACTCATCTCAGTTATAGAGAGAAGTACAAGCGAAAAGGGACACATGTGGGGAGCTGTAGATTAGTAACCAGAGTTGGAAGATGTATTTCAGAACTGTGGAACATGAAAAAAGGACAAGAAAAAGTAAAAGTGTGACTGAGTTTCTTACTTTTTCTGGTGGGACGTGGTGCGCCGTGTGCACAGGAAGGCCCCGACCACCACCACGATGATGGTGAAGGCTCCCACTGAGATGATGATGACGATAACCAGGATGTGACCTTCACTGTTGCCTCCAACCCCTGATTTACCTCAAGAGGAGAAAGACCGGATTAGACTAGTTCTTGGATGCCAAAATAATATTGTACATCCACTAGTGTTTGACTAATAGCATCATAGCTGAACAGGATTGTTAAAGAAGGCAGCTGAGAAGAAAACCTTACCAACTGGATTTCCATCGCGATCTGGGTTTCCTGGGTGGCCCTGCTTGGGTGGCAGATTTGAGGCTGATTAAAAATGGAAAAGATATGTTTTAGTGAAACTCCCTCAAGTGTTTTTATGGCTTCTTAGACTGTCATATTTATCCCTGAGATGCATTATATTCTGACATTTTTTACAAGCACAAATAGATTTAGCTGGTCATGCAGCCAACATTTTCATCAGCCAAGAAGAAGGTAATCTCCAGAAAGAGAGATACACAAGGTGCAGAGTCAGCAGTGGAAGATAAAGTGTGAAGGGGGAATTTACCTTGGTCATTAGCCATTTTGTCAGAGGACTCAGCTTAACAGGCCAAAGGAGAGCAGGGAGGGAGAGACAATAAAAAGCAAAAAACAGGTTAGCGAAAAAGAGCAGATTTGGAGACAGGAATAAAGCAAGAGATTAGAGTTGTGAGGAGGAGGAAAGAGGCAAATCTAGAAGAATTTAAACCAACAGCAAGAGTGTACTACTGACACAGCCAAGAAGATATTAAAAGCAAAGCATCTAAATGAAGAAGATTATAAAAAGTGTCCTACACACAGTACAATAACACATACTGATTTTCAGTAAAAAGAAAATACCAAACATCCAAAAAATAGGTGTATGCGGCAACACCAAATGAAACCTGAAATGTACTCAGAGGTTAGTGTGAATTTGCTGACCATTAGTGGCAGTAATTTAGTCATCCCCAAGCAATCAACAAGGCATGGGAAACATCCCTGTGTCCGCTCTCAAGACACTTTCTCACAAACAACTTAATCAGGAGGAGAAGTGTTCACTAGAAACTCATTTTAAGCCAGGACCTGATCTGGCAAGGCACTGCCGGTCATTAACATATCAACAAAACACATTCCCGGTGGAATACTTTGTAATGTGAAACTTGTATCATGTTGCTTCACATCATGAACTACGAACAGAATAGTAAATACCACCAAAAATGTATGATTCTGTCTTTGAGTGTTAAAAACTGCAGTGATTAGGTGTCTGATAAGCCTTCAAACTCATGTATCTGTTTCTCAAACTGAACTTCCAGGTCTTCATTCACTTGTCCTTAACGTGTTCCTATATTTTCCTAACTTACTCTTTGGAGTTCGGAATTGTACAGCCTCAGACATGGGGCCCATGCCCTTTGAGTTTCGGGCCTGGATCTTGAAGTAGTAAGTGGTGTCCAGCGTCAGCTCCTGGATCTGGTGGGTCAGGCGGTTGCCAACCACTGGTTCGATAACCCAGTCATGGACCTCAGCGTTGACATCTGTACTGTAGTAGATGATGTAGCCTACAACAGGGAGGGTCAGGAAGAAAGACAATTCCATTAAGATACAGAGGCTTTAACGCTGAGCAAAGCAAGATCAACTACAATGCTTTTGTGCTATGTCCTCCAAGTATTGTGTCATATTATCACTCTTTATTGGGTTTATTTATCTCACTGAATCTCTTTTTGATAAAATATGTTTAAGACTGACGAGATCTGACCTCTCCTGCATGACAACAAGTAAAACAAATATTCCTTGGGACTTTGTACACGTTAATGATAAAACTTGAGTCTATATCTATCCGAGACCATAAAATACGTAACACACGAGACTTGGATACTGACCAGTGATCTTCCCGTTGGCCTCGGAGGGAGGCTGCCAGTTGACGATTATGGTGCGAGGTTTGTTCTCCTTGCTCACCACGGTAACGTCTTTCGGGGAGGAGCTGGGAACTGTTTAGTGGTGGAGTGATTGAGACAGGTCATTTATTGTTGATAAAAAACATGACATACTGTAATGCTCCATCTTTAACAACATATTTCTCTCATTAATTATGTTTCTATACGTCATGAATTAACTCATATATATGACATGTATGTATATTGGATGTCTAATGTTTAGCTTAGCAAATATCTTTTGGATACTGTGTGTGCATTTTATGAGTTTATGTGATTTCTGTGTCTGTGTGCGTATCGTGTAAGAGGCTCTACTGAAGTGTCAACCTAATTGTTATGACTTGTTGTTTTCACATGTCAGTGCACAATGACCTTGTAGATAATATTTATTTGCACAATTGTGAATCAAACCCCTGGCTGGACAGAAATAAGAACTGGCTGTTCTCCTCACTTCTTCGGAAAAACAAAACATAATGTTTCACTTCGTTTTTTAAAGTCCAACAAATCTCAATCCAATAGCCGGATAAACACGCCGATTCCAAGAAAATTAGCCTTTGTTTTTAATGTGCTGTTTATTTTCAGGCCACTATTAGCTCAGCAGTAACAATTTACAATGAAGTATGGACTCTGACACTTTAGTATTTGCTGTGTGTATATTGTAAATACAGAATAGCCAATTTAACAGTAATATAGTAACTAAAGGGAGATGGCAATCATTCACTGTCATCCCTCCGATGTTGTTTCAAGCTAAATGTAATTGAATCAGGAAAAGTATAATGAACCAAAACAAAATGCTTTTTGCTCTACAAGCTTGACCCCATAAAGACTCAGGTCTTGGTTGGCTCCTCAGGCTGATATACCCGGCCATGATGCTGCAAATCAAGAGAAACATGAAAATAAACATGTTTTGTTAACACAACATTTTTATATTAATTCTTATGGTTATAATTATCATTAATTTCTGATTCGTCCATTGGCGTATTGTGCGAGAAAGCAGGGTTAGTCCAAAGGGCTCTTAGTGAACAGAAGAGCAATACTTAAATTATATTCGCCAACCACCAATTTGCTGCAGGTTTCCTCAATTTCACTTGCGGTTAATGTGAAATCTATTGATAAATACCTTCCATATTAACTCGATTAAACTATACTGTACAGTGACCGTTTGGTTTTCCGCAGGTCTGTCCTCTCCTTCCCTTCGGTCTGTAAAAAGTGAAACATTACTTCCAGCCAGCCAGGGGCTCGTTACATTGGAGCATGTCTTTGTGGATGTGTACATTTGGTGTGTTTCTGCACAATTATTCACGAGTGTTTGTTTGCTCCTACTGGTTTCAAAGGTGGTGCCCTGAGCAGTCATGCTCCACGTGCTGGTGCGGCGCCCTTTGGTCACCATGACGGAGAACTCGTACAGCGTGTTTGGCTTCAGACCCGTCACCATGTGGTTCAGGCTGGTGGTGTTGGCCATCTGGAAACACACAGGCAAACACACACAATAAACAATAATTCAGTTTGTTTGATTGTAGATTACATTCACTAAACACAGATGAGGGATTCAGAAGTATTTTTGTCAGCACAGGAAAAATAATAGTCGAACACTTTTACTTGAAGAAATTATTAAAATTTGTATTTCACTATAAAAACAACTGACATATATTCTTCCCTCAATTAACCAAGGAATTCATTGTTCCTATAACTCTGGATGTTGTGCAGAGTTTATTACACTCACTGACCACTGAGGGGAACCAGAAGCTTTTACATTCTGTAATGCTCAGTCATGTTTGGTGTGAAACATGATGGCACACAAAGACAAGTGTAGCCATTGTGAAAAAGCTTTACACTGCAGATTAGCATAACATCAAGTTACAAAACACAAGGGGTCTATTTCAAATGTCTACGGCATCACAAACTTGAAATCAGTCAGCAAGTCGAAAATAAACGTGGGTTATGTAACCAGTCATCTTGATGCGTGTTGTCCTGAGCTGGCAGGCTTGCTGTGGTTTGTCGCTCGCTAACAGCCCTATCGCTAACGTTGCGTGCTATCACAAAAGTGCAGTTCTCCAGCGGGGGATGTCACACAGAGGGCAGTGGGATAGGAAAAGATAAATGTTCTTAAGAAACATGCTGCCCGTTTGAGAGCAGTTGTCTTTTCAATAATGTACAAGCTTGTCTGGCTAGACTCGCATCAGAGTAGAGGACATGATGAACATTACGGCTTCACTGTTGGTTAGACTGGTCTCAAGGTTTACGTGCACAAGTACAACATGTAGATTTCGGAGATAGGAATCCTCTGATTAATAAAATACACCAGAATAGACTTGTTAGAAGATGGAATTTGGTTATCGGGACAGAAACATAATGAGCCTGTGAAACTCTTTAATTACTGTCACAGGCGGAGAATCAAACCAATTTGAGCAAGAAGGCAGCAAAACCTGACTGCTGAGTCTGTGTGTGTGTGTGTCTGGTGTATATGTGTGTGTGTGTCTGGTGTATATGTGTGTGTGTCTGGTGTATATGTGTGTGTGTTTCTGAGTTGGTTAGATGGAGAATGCACTGTCAGATCTACAGACTCTGTTCCTAGTTCTTAGATTCTCTTGTCCTTGTTGAATAATTTATCAGTCAACGTAGGCCTTTATCAGAGCTCTGCTAGGTCACATGTTTGCATACATACATGCAGCCATAAAAAAACACACATACAGACATTATTTTTGCCATTATTGGAAAGTTGGGAGGGAAGAGGTGTATAGAAAACAACATGCACAACATTTTCTGTTGAATACCTAACAAAGAAGCTGCTTAAGAGCCTTTGCTGTGATAAACGATATCACTGCACTTGCTGTAACCACTGTTCATATGGATGATGCCAAATCAACCAGGACAGTGATCTTACAGGATATTACTGACAATCAATCAATTATCAATTGCAGCCCTACAACTCTAGAGTCACTAAAAAGAGACTTAAACATAATAAACTATAATAATAAGTTATTGAGTTAACCGAGTTGTCAGACACATTTAACGCGAATGGAGAGCAATGAGAATTGTATTCAGCCTACAACTTTATGAAGACAAACGCCTTTACACTTAATGCTGAGGGAGATTTTCTCAGTTGAAACAGACTGCTTCTCTTTATAGTGCTTCCAAAGCCGGATGAAAATAGATTATTGCTTGGTTACAAACATCGGCATTATGCTGCCGCTGTGCTTGGGAGCTGCTGTGGGAATACTTTATTATATATCATGGTATGACATTGCTTTTCATTTTCAGCACATCAATACATCTCTCTGGTAAGTGTAGACGCAGCGGGAGGCACAAAGTCCCACAGCACTAAAATACACAGAAATCGTACTGTATTAAATGAAGGCGCATTTTTAGAGTTTGATCAAACCGAGATGATTAAAGTTTTACTTCAATGAATTTTACTCTATCGTAAATAAGTTACTTGAGCTTTAAAGTGCTGAGCTAAACCAGAAAAAATGAGAAAATTAAACTGGGGCTTCAATTTACGAGAAAATCTTTCTCAATTAGATTGACAATAAGAATTTGAGGAAAAGGTTTTTTGAAATCAATGATTTTAGGTAATCTACACACATTAAACCAGGAACATGAAGCTCTTACCTTCACTTTAGTGTTGGCAGGGATGTTGGTCTTCCAGCGGACGGTGTAGAAGCGGTTATCTGTGATCTTTTGGTTCTTGGGCAGCGAGTTGTCGGCCCAGGTCACCTTGATGGTGTCGTGGCTCAGCACGGAGGACTGAACACCCACAGGCGGCATCATGGGAGAGGGGTCTGGGACTGGGGTGTATGGAGCATGATAGTTGATAGACATGTCAACATCGGGGTCTATGGGGTCTGCATGTTATGGCAGGAAACCCGCATGCATGCACACAAATTAAAATGACCAACATTAAAACATAAAGGAAAAGGCGTGGCGGATCGGACAGTGGAGTCAAAAAAGGATGCAGGGAGGAACGAACAGAAGAAAATATGGTTAATGAGTTTAAATAAAGAGGGAGGGAGAAAACAGATAAGTGGAACAAGGATGGGATTGGGAATGATGAAGAGAAAGAGAGAGAAGATTCTATTAGACACAGACCTCTACAATAAGACAAATCTACAGAGCTGGTGCTTTAAAGAAACTACTATACAGTATTTTTCTATCAAGAGCTACTATATACTACAGAGAGAGAATGGAAAACTCTATTCATAAGAAAAGATTGCAGCAAATGGAAAACTAGGCAGAAAGCAGATAACCACAATCCTACAGCCAACATTTTCAAGCTCACATATTTAAGTGTTAACACACTCTTTTCAGAGAAAGGAGGTACTGGCATGTGTTTTGACGTGTTTACATCGTGGACCTGTTCCCAACATTTGAATGCAAAGTGGATAAACAGACGGACTCAGGGTTTACTGGAAAATGTTCTTCTTTGCAGAGTAACATCTAAAAGGCTGCATCGTGTCCTTGAAAACTGTAGAAAGAACGCAGAGGCTTTAAGTGAGGAAGCCTGCAGGCAGAGAGGAGGGTCACGGTCAAGTGGTGGTTTCATGTGTGTCTGTGCTTCAGATTTGAGCCTTTTGGCAAACTCTGGCACAACTACAAAACATTTATTAATGTGCGGTTTCCTTGTTAAATAAGCCAATCAATTAAATGAATACCACAGGCTTTTTGTATTATATTTGTGGGGATTCAAGGACACAGAATAGTTTTATAATCATTCTCATGTATTGATTCCAGTTGTATCAAAACGGGTAAATGTCAATACTTTCTCAGTCACCCATGATGACACTCCTCCTTGACCAGTGGTTGGTCCTCTCCTCTCTGCCTCGCTCCATTTGACACCTCTTTGCACAGAGCTGCCCTCATTACATTCCCCAGTCAGAGTCAGAGTGTGTGTGCATGATGAACACCCAGCATTCATGTGGTTATGGAGAGACACTGCGGTTTTTGGAGTGGCATGCAAGCTGCATTTCTTTACCCAGCTTTGAGGAGTACAGTCTCCAGTGTTAACCAGTAGAGCAGGGTGCAGGAAAGAGTTGCCCTGGTAACATTATGTTACAGGTCCGGATGCAATTCCTAATTTCCTGCTCCTAAGTTAAGGCGCCATGTTATAACATATTCAACCCAGCACTCTTTCAACCTAAGTTCACCAAGTTTCTCCTTTTTTTTCAAAAGTTAAAGTGCTATGTAGGTCAGCTTGTCTTTTTAATACCGACTTGAACAAACTGGCAGGAAGGGAACGCGCCCCAGACGATTCAGCAGCAGCAGACGATGGTTGTGGGCTTTGGTTCTGCTTTGAGAGGAAACGTTTGGATCTGACGAAGGGTTGCCAAGAATACCACAGGGGGTCTGCGAGTGTGTGTGAGGAAGAGAGGGCTTCATACAGAGAAGGGTACAGTGTGACAGTATGTGGGTGTGCGCGCACTTAAGACTGCCACCCCCCCTCGAAGCATGTTGACGGGATTCATGTCATCCAGCATCCCACCCCTCCCCGCACGGCGGTGCAATGGTGCTGCTGCAGAGACGAACTGCAGTGATCAAGGCTTCATGGGGGGGGCGGGGGTGGGGGGGGGGGGGCGGCAGGATGGGAGAGGAGGCAGGTGCAGCCCACATTCGGGGGACACCCCAGGGAGCATGGGCTGGTTGTCTTCTGACAGTGTCACATAAACTCTGTGAACTCCACTAACATGCAGTCTAACTGGCTGTGTTTTCTCGCTTTAAGATCATTTGTCAGGCACTCTGCAGAGAGACTTAACTTCCTCTTCTAATTGTGAGCTGGGTTGTGAGCTGAGGCTTAAAGAATTACAGAGTCTCGGGCTGGCAGCCAAACTCGATTCCCCATATTATTTGCCCGATGCGACAAAGCTGTTTCATTATAACAATAAATCCAATTACCTTATTTAGGTTGATATTCATTTTTCATGCAAATCTAAAACAGTGACAAATCGTTTTGTAGCTATTTTGTAATTAAGATGTGTTTAGCCAAACTTTTTCTGATTGAAAAATAAACTTGTAAAGGCTCTTTTGTAGACATTAATAGTGACTCTAAATATAATAGTAGTTCTGCCATTGCTTGTTACTTACTTACACCTACGCCACTAAGTTTGGCTCTACTAAAAAGTATGTAAAATGCCTGTTTAGACTGATTAAGTTGGTGAGCTATAATCCAGTGTGGGTTATTTATTATAACTCCTTATAGTTGTATAACATATTTGTGAATGTATGTTGATCTGTTGCCTCTCATATATATCTTACCTGGGAGTTTTGAAGTTGAGTATATACATTTGTTAAAGCTGCCAATGAATTATCCTTTTTGGGAAAAATAAAGTTGTGTAAAACCTGAAGAGGTTCTCCAATAATATTTCTTTATTCCATTCTTTGTTGTTGGATATGTGCTCCTTCAATATATTGGAACATTATTCCCTGACAACCGGGGACATCTGGTAATATAAGGGCAACATTTCAGGGCCTTGACATTTTGATTAAAAAGAGACTCAAGTAAACGGGGAGTCATTAAGGAGAGAATTAATTAGAGCAGGGACAGCCAGATGACCCGTTATCTCCTTGGTAACTTGGAGTCGAGACAAATTCAGCCTGATAATGATCTCAGATTAGAGAGAGCGGAGATAACTGTCAGACCAAGACAAAAGCCATACAGTGAGAGTATATCCCATAATATTTAATGTAACGTCCGTTGTGTATGAGCAAAAGAGGACAGTTAACAGGATTTAGGATGCTACCATTTGCAGTGTACCGAATGATAAGAGATCTAAGGTCGGCATGGAGATGTGTGGTCCTACCTGACTGCGGTCTGGTGATGGCGCTCTCGTACACCGGGATCCCCTCACCCACGTTATTGTAAGCCTTCAGGGTGATGACATAGTGGGAGCTGGGGACTGAGAGAGTGATAGAGAGAGGTTAAGAAAGAGCATGGTGAGAGACACAGGAAGAGCGAGATAAATGATGTGTCCGGCCATCTAATCAAGCCCAACCTCTCGAGACCCTCCACTGATAATTGCGATATTGGCCAGAATGAGTGTTTGGACACAATCCTCCTCTTACTGTGATTGTAATAAGGGCTTCAATTATGCATACATAGATATTCTGCAACACTTTTCCTCCTAAATCTCTCCATTTAATATGATTATTATTATCTAACTCTGACCCTTTCTGAAGCTTAGATTACTGGAGTATTAATTGTATATTATTGAGTTTGACCTACATAATGGGTATGGTAGAAACAAAGAAATAACTATGGAGCAAAATGTGTGTGTTACTGTCCAACGAAGCAAAATCACTACCTATTGCTGATATAAGAAATAGCAAAACATTGATTTCTTGAGTTCTATTAGTAGATAATGTATTCCAACTCCTCCAAAATTCCATATATACTGGTAACATGTATGCATATATACATCAGTTTCTCAAAGGTTGGACTGATCCTATGCAGAGAAATGTCTCTTATGCAACAGTAGGAACCAGCAGAATATTTTACTAAGGTAGACCTTTCATTTTATGTTTCCTTTTCTTTTGATGACAGCAATAATTAATACCACCAAAACAATTTGGTTTGATTTCAATAATTTTGACCCCTAATTATCGTGTCCCCATTAGGCCAATCTGCATAATTAACGGCTGAGGCGTGTGGTGGAGAAGATCTCATTAATTCTGTAAATGCTCTCTATGAGGCACGGATGAGCTGCTTCACATTGCTTGTGTGTCTTGTGAGGGTTTTCTCATTTGTTATTAAAATGTCACAAAACTAGTTAGTTCTATTTCTAAGTAGGACAATCACAGTAATGTTTCTAAATGTTGACATTTTAGTTTATGACGCATTTGTCCCCACGCTCTCATTACTATCTGAAACAGAGCTATTTGACAAATCAGCTGAGATTTTTCAATGTCATGATGTTGTGTGACAAATTAATATTTCAGTAAAAACAGAACACAAGCATTACGGCAATGTTTGAATGAAGATGCACAACATGTTCTTACAGAGGTTCTCGATAGTGTAGTAGCGCTGCTTATAGTCCACTTTGATGGTCTGGGCATGGGGACTACCGATGCCATAGCCGATGGTGTAGCCCCTCACCACAATGTCCTGGTTCTCTGGAGGCGTCCAGCTCACCACGATGCTGTTGACCAGCGGCCGGACGTGGAGAGAGCTGGGCTGGTCGGGTACACGGGATTCTAGCAAAGGAAATACATTAAATAATAACTTATAAGTATTTTTTTACAATTTCAGAGAGAAAAATGGGTAATTAAATGCTGAAAAAGGTTGGAAACATAAAACCTAGTTTAGTCTGTACATATTGAGTAAAGCAGATGATTTTTACCATCCAGGTCGCTCTCAAACGTCTCAGTTGTGGTCCACTCGGTGGCCGGCCCCGTGCCGTTCACAGTAATGGCCGACACCCGAAAGGAGTACTCAGTCCCACGCTCCAAACCTGGACAGGAAACACAAGCCGGTCAGATTCAGAGTGTTTAGACTGAGCTGTGGCTGATCTGAATTTCAAGCAGCAACAAAACTCTTTCTTTAAATCTTCTCTCTCCCTCTAAAACCTGATTTTATTTCATAATTTACCGCTGCTGTCAACTTGGCTGCTAATTTGGGGTTTCAAGTTGCAGACACAATACATTTGTGGAAAGAAACACATATTTTAAACAGATGTCCTATTCCTCTGCACTCTTTAAGGAGAAATCTATAAGCTAGCCTGGGGAAGGATTAAGTGAGGGTTTCGGTGCAATTCATTTTCTTTTCAAGTCGATATCAAAGGAGTGATTGAGATTTATTTTTTTACCTTTGATTATATGCTTTGGTGGATAAAGATTTATTTACCATTAAGAAAAGTAAAAGAGAAAAGTGTGTAAAAGAAGCCAGCACAGAAAAGTAACACAGAAATCTTTTGTAGTTTGGAGTTTTGTTAATATTTTAAAGCTACGTCTCCTTCAGTTGATTCACTGCTGGGTGCCAGCTTTAAAATGCACAAAAGAGAGGAGAGCCTGCTGACAAATGATGTGTTACTTTTTTAATTTGCTGTAAAAATTGTCATCATCGCTACATGCTAATCCTGCCGCCTTTTCTTTTTTGTACCCACTATTCTGGGCCGCCCTTGGGGGGTTGCTTCTGAAGACTGCCTAACTATCCATGCCTCCAAGGCTACAACATCTTCTTCTAAACGCTTTTGAACCAACAAACACCCCACTGTTTCCCCCCCCTAGAATCTTCCCCAAAATCTACTTTTAAGTGTATATTCTCTTTGATGCAGCACACAGCTTGACGTCAGGCCACTTGAAAGTTGCTGAGACAACATCTAATATTAATCACCAGTGCAGCGTGTCTCTGGTGATGTTTTTGTGGTAGCAGCGGGTAACGTTACGGTATAGTAAGACATGAGACCCGCTCAAAGTGTTCAGATGAAATGCAGATAAACAAACACAATTACAGACAGACCGACTCCAAACATCAACTCAGACATGTCTTGAATCTGAAGATCAAGATTTTAAATATTGTAGCATGTCAGAACTAATTGACATACATGCAGCAGAGGTCAAATGGAGTGTGATAGCATAAGGGTTTTGATGTAGGACCTGTATGTAGGATCAAATGGGAAATGGTGGATGTGTGGAGCTGTGTTCTTAGTAAAGAACACAAACCCTCAGTCCTATCATTATTCCTATGACCCTGATCACACCCAGCATCAAACACACACTCAGTGGACAAGTGGACAGCTGTAAATACAAGTGTGGACACAGATAACCCCAGATATGAGCAGCAAAGGACACATTGTTAACTAGGACACATTTAAAATGCATTTATATGATATGTGTGAACTGCTCTCCATCTCTGAACAAACATGTAAAGTGCTTGTTGTAACGGGAGCTGACTAGCTTCAATAAAAAATACAGTTATAAATGCAACACATTCACCGCAACTTGCCAAGCTGTTAAACGAGAATTGAGTCAATCAAAAAAAGTTAAAACAACAAATAAAAAATGTTGTGAACATGTGAGGGCGATGCTACAGCAGGTAGAGTTTCATTTTGACGTCAGCAACTATAGTTGAGCCAAGCCAGTGTCTATTACCGTCAATGATCTTGTTCAGCTGGGTGCCTCCGGTGGTCTCGGCTGCTTCACTCCTACGGGAACCTTTCCGGTATCTGATCTTGTAGCCGGTGATCTCCCCATTCTGGTCACTAAGGGGTGGGGGGTTCCACCGAAGCATGATGCCCTGAAGGAGGACAAAAAGTGAAGGTGGATTAAACTTAAACCTGCATATGTGGAAATGTCTGGTTTTGAGCCTGCAGCTGTGAAGGTGACCTCATTGTTTAGCATCACACCTTCCCACACACACTTTGGCACAGACATTTGTTTAAACGTAACTCTGCAGGTTTACTGTTCTGTTGGCCAGAAACACAAGGTCTCACCCGCCCTCTCCCCTCTCCTCCTGACTGTGGTGCAAATGGGAGGGCCGTGCTAAAACAAACATCCCTCTGAGCAAGGGTGACGCAGTGCAGATTGACGCATTGGGAAGGAATAAACACATGAATAATAGAGGGAGGTGTCCTGATGAGTGGGGTGTGCATGTGTAACTGTCGTCAGGTTAACCCTGCAGAGAGGCAGAGAGAGGAACGCAGGCTGGCGAGCAAACGCTACACTGTTGAGGGATTCATGAATCGGAGCTTTTGTGTGTGTATTTAAAAGAGATAGGTGGGGGGTAGCCCTGTGTGGGAGAAGAGTTAATTAACACTTTCTCACTGTCACACTGATGCACAAAAGCCTGAATACATGTGGAGGGCACACACACAGGAGTTCCTCCACAGCCAAGTCAAGGGAATTGAGCAAATTAAATGTGTGTTAAGTGTGTTCAATTATTCCACTTTTGTTCTTACACTTTCAGTCCCAACTCCTCATCTCCCCCTTGTTCTCCATAGTCATGGAAACCTTTTTTAATTGACTTCTGGAAAATTCACAGGGAAAAGGTGCAAAAGAAGATCATAAAGACAATGTTCTCGGAGTTGCCTTGCAGGGTAAAGATGTGCCGTTCAGCTTGACAAGGCCCAAAGAGGAGGCTGAATAAATAATAAATGTTAATTTGTTTTTTTTCCCCTTGGTTCCATTTGGCTGGGCGTATCGAAAAAGCTAATTGCATAAATGATTTGCATCTATATACTCGCTCCAGGATTGTTGACTTAATGACTGTTTACATTCAGAATTAAACACAATGACAACAAAGAGAAAATATTAGATAACTAATTTCAATAATGCTTGGGAATAAATGATGCCAGATGTTTGTTTTGCAGCTTTGAAGGGGTTTGTCTGTGTGTAATTGGGAGGGGACAGCTGGATGTACACTAGCCATTCAGAAATACAATCCCTATCGTTCCCACAGAGCGGCTCTTTCTCATTTTTACTCTTAACATTAGCATGAGGGTTTTCTCTCCATTCATCTCAGCTGAGTATCCCTCAGCATGGGTGGCCGGTTCTTGCTCAAGCTGGAAGTGTGTGATAGGATTCTCTACCAGTTTCCTTTTCTAGTTTCAACGGCAGTTTTCTGTAATTCTGGTTCTGCATTGAAGGGCTAAAAGCGCTGGCTGCTGCTTTTGTAGTCAATGCATGCAGCTCACAGTTTTCAGCATCTCCTTCACTTCTGTTTGTACTTGCTGTCTCATGTCATGAGTGAGAAACTCTTTAAAAATCAAATGTAATCCATCATTCAAGTGCAAATATACAACAGGCCTGCAGCTCTCTGTCTGAAGATCAAATGGTTGAAGAGACCTCCAGCTGAGGTCAGTTTCCGGTCTCAATCAAGAGCTGTGAAGCCTGAACACTACTCTCCCAAGACATCTATTACCTAAAAACATGCTAACCAACAGGTTGAAATGGCTATCACTACGTTAGCTTTGCACATAGCATCACATTTAGCATAGATTTGTCGGTCAAAAGCCACCAAAACATACATTTTAACTGGGAAATTGGTTTCAGAAAAACATTTAGTCTAAACTCCCCAATTATTATCTTACGTTGACTGCATCTCCCGGGCTAATATTGTTCGGATCCATTTAGATTTGACTGTAGGCTTCTCTGCCAGATACTGTACAAAGGGAGAGTGATCCAGAGGATAAAACCTTCTGACAGGCGGCTCTCCTGCCGATGAGAGGATCGATGAGGGTTCACACTCCCTCTTAACCAGCTGGGGCAACAGGCCTGTGACGCGGCTGATCACACAGAGAAACAACGGTGTGCTGGCCTTCAGGCTACGTTCTGTATTTGTTCAACTGTTTGTGTTCAACTGTTTGTGTGTGTGGATTTTGTGAAGCGGCTGCATACACCGTGGACCGAAGCTCAGTCAAGCTGCAGGCAGTTTAGGTGCATTTTTATGTTGGCATCTGAGGGAGTCTGTACAACATGCGTGAAAGCTTCTAAGACGTCAATAAGAGAAGGGAAAAATCTAGACTGGTTACACGTCATGCAAACTGTTTCTTACCTTTGAGTTCTGAACCTCCAGGGTGAGGTTTTGAGGAGGAGCACTGGGTACTGTGAAACAAAAGAAGGGTGAGTATTTTAATTAGCAGGTCATTAACACAAATTCTATTTTTAAATAAGCTGCTTGTCTTTGCCTTATGTGACAGTAAAACAGATACCGTAGGTTGAGTGTTGCTCTGAAAAAAAGCATTCCATTTGAAAGCATCAACTTCGATTCATCATGTTTTCCAAAATTGACAGACTAAAGGATTAATTGATTCATGTAGAACATTATTTGCAGGTTAATTGCTTATAAACTAATTGGTTAATCACAGCTCTAATCTACTGAAAATGAACAGTTCACTGTAAAGATGTATCTAGCTGGATATACATTTACAGCATACTGCAGATGACTCAAATGTATAGCCATCCATAACATTTTACACACAGACAAGGATGTTAACATCAATCAGGACATGTCATAAACCAAAGGCTAGAGGCTCTCTTCATTAAGATACTGACCATCAGACAGCGTGCGAACGGCCACATCGTCAGTGGAGACCCCCGGCCCGTGCTTGTTGTTGGCCACCACACGGAAACTGTACTCTGTGTTCTTCTTCAGGCCTGTCATGGTGTAGGACTGAATGTCAACGTCAACGTCCTGAAAGAAAAGGAGGGAGGAAAGAGAAGAAAGTTTGTTTGAATATACTAAAAATATAACATAATTTATAAATATGAATTAATACAAATATATCTTCTTAGGTGACTGTGCTAAATAGAACAAATTAAGTAAAGTGTTGCAAATAAAGACAAAACCACACATTCATTTCACTAGTTCTATACCAACAACATTTTCGGAATTGTGTAATTTTAGCTTTCAAGTTTGATATTGGCACAAACATGAGTAAATAATACCAGTTCCAATAGTTTTAAAAGCCTAGGATGTGGCAAAGCTACAAATGTGTTGCCTGTGTTCATCATTTCATGACACCAATATCTCAGTGTGTGATTCTGTGTATATAAATAACATCCAAGACAGAGAAACAACTTATGCTCTGTGTGATCAAAACTCTGTGCTTCACAAATTGGGGAAGCTGGCACCAGTTACTTCAAGCCAATTTACATTCGTCTCTCCGCTTGTGACACTTGGAGTAGAAAGGCGGAGACCTAGTGGAAATCGAATCTTGCTTCTGAAGCGCTTCAATCACAACCTCTGACCTCGAGGCATATGATCGCTTGTGACCACTTCACCCTGGAAGAGGCATCACAGGTTGTCCCTGACTTACCCCTGTCCTTTAATATTTCATCTCCTTTCAGCACTGTATCTTTCTATCTTCGTCTGTGCTCCGTCCCATTCCTTCACCTCTTTCTTTCCACCCCTCTCTTAATCTCTTGCCTTTTTCACCTCATCTCTGGCTCTCTTCTCGAGGGAACTGAAGCATCATTACTCAGTACGCTGGATGACGTTTCATCCATTATCATATTAAAGGCTTTTTAATGCCTCACTGGCTTGCACACCGCTACTGCTGGGGCTGACTCGATATCTAAGCAGCTGAATTCCACTCCTGTGACGGAGTTAGACCTGCAGAGAACAACTCGGTGAATCATATTTCCTTTTTTTTTGCACAATACGCGTTTTGTGTGAGATGCTTAAAAAGCAGTACAAAGAGTCTTTAAGCTAATGATTAGGAACGCCTTACCTCATCACAATTTACATTAGGCTAGGAAGTGAAATTCTTTTTATCTAATGAACCCCGCAAAAGCAAGCAGCAGCTACAGGAAGTACCTCTCCTCTTACAAGGTACAAGAAATGAGACAATGATGTTCACTGAAACTATCCAACTTTTAACAATATGAAATCAATAAATAGAAGGAAAAACACAAGGAAAAAATGTAATGCAGGAAATACTACACCCGTTTAAAGTCCTTTAAAAAAGAATATATCTGAAATTATATCTAGATTTTACATGTTTTATCTGATTTCTGGATTATTTTTATTTATATATTTTTTTCATCAAGCCTTTTATTGTCTTGTTTCTACATCTATTGTTCTGTGTGCAGCACTTTGTAACTACTCTTTGAAAAGTGTAAAAAAAAAGGTTGTCTCAGATCCCTTTCTGCTATCACACATTACAGCCGAGTGAGTGAAGACAATTTCCTACCTGTTCGTTGTCAAAGCTTTTGTCTGTGTAGAACACCTTGTAGGTGAGCATCTCTCCGTTGCCAGTGATGGGTTTGTCCCAGCTCAGAGAGACGGAGGTGGGCGTGTTGGACACCGCCTGCAGGTTCGGAGCAGGACCGGGCACTTGAACTGAAGCAGGAGAGCAGAGATTAGAACACAATCAAACATGACAATTGTGATTTGTTTTATCTTGAGCCCTCTCCATTTTTCTTATGCATGTTTATGCATCTGGAGCTCAATTTAGCATGTCCATTTTTTGCTGCCAGAAACACATTCTTGGCTCCTCTAAAGCCTCATTCCCCTGTGTGAGCTAGAGCTGAGACCAAGACGGCTCCGAGGAGAGCGATTCCCTCCGGACTGAGCTGACAGCCATGTAGATTTTCTTGTTATTCCCATGACAAACAAACTGAAGGTGCGCCTCAACAAAAACATCAATGTGCATCTCGCATTACACCAACATTTGCCTCAGGCTTATATTCAGTATGCTAGACTGTTTATCTAACTGCGTGTAGTTATTCAAAATAAGGGGCAGGATTAGACCGAGATTGAGTTATAACTTGTCTGTGTATCAGTTATATGTCTCGTGAAATAAATAGAAAAGGGCAGATATGTAAATCTTGTTGAGCAATGTGGTTTAACATCTTAAAGTAGAGGCTTTAAACTTGGCACTGTGTTAATTTTGCGGCGAAGATTATATCTTTTAAACTTTTTAAAGGATCTGACATCTTCAAAAAACTAATGAGAACACAAACATTAATGTCTCAGATTTCTTTACTTCCACTTAGATTAGGGGAGTGTGAATTAAACTACTCGGCTATTATTCCTACACTGTTCGCCTGAAGCAAATCTAAACACTTTTAAATGATAGCAGTTAGCACTTTAACATCCAAGCAAACATCTTATTTCATTTCCAGTTTGCTGGCAGATAGAGCTAACATAAAAAATGTATCTATCACGTCCCAAAAAGGTTGTGACATGCTGCTACCACCAAGAAGTACCTAAAATGTGAGAAACATACAGATATGATGGTCAAAATCAAACAAGATATAAAACATGTAAGAGTTAATTTGGCTAGTTTAAAAGGTAAAAAGTCATCTTTGTTTTTCAGTAGTTTAATTGTCCTAACCCAATAATAATGTCTGGTAAGGAGGATGGGAATCAACCTCGTAAGCAGCTGGTTCCAGTACTGCAGAGAAACTCAGAGAGCATATGGACAGTGGTGTCATTTCCTGTTGTCTTTGTACTGTTCCAAATTAGATTTTAAATTAAACATTGACTATAAGGTTAAAGTCACACAGAAAGAGATATGTGTCCATCTGATATTGAAGGCAGAAGCTCCCCTTTGTGTGGGTTTGAGTGTGAGTCTGTGTCTGTGTGTGTGTATCAAGTTTCTGTGGAGAGGTGACACGGTGCAGCTGCAGAGATGTGTGCACACACCTGGCACTCAGGTGCAGGTCAAGAGTTTAAGCTCCCATTCGTAGCATGTTCTCACACTAAAAGTGCACGCACACGACAGAGATATACTGCCCAGGTACAGCCCGCCCTCACTGCTATCCCCACGGGTGTCTAGGCATTAACGTGGTGCAGTGTGTGTGTGTGTGTGTGTGTGTGTGTGTATCTGTGTGTCGATCTGTCCGCCCTCCAACCAAGGACACAGGTAGAGTAACGGCGGCTGACCTACAAAGTGACAGTGACTGAGCTGCGGCTGAGCCCAGAGGTGGGGGACGTCCACCCTGACAGTGTGCTGGGAAACCCCCTTTACAGCACTTTTAAATGTGGGTGAAACAGCAGCAGCCATGGGAAGGATTACACACCCAGATACAAAGAGAAAAGAAGAACCACTTCGCCCCCTCTCTCCTCAAGAACTCATGTGTGTCCTCCACTTTAAACATCCTAATGAGCTTCTGTACAGCATCTCTGTGCAGACCGGCAGAGGAAAGTGTTTCAGATAAAAGACTGGAATACTAATTTCAAACATTCCCTGCTCAGGTAGGCCTGGTTCAAAGCAACACACACACAGGGATTATAGTAAATGTTGGGGCATACATATGAAGGGGCTTATGAAAAGGCTGTATTCCTCTGGTGTGGGTGGTCTGCCTTAACACACAACACCAAACAGCCTCTAATATGTGACTGCCCGTGTGTGTGTGCGGTGTTGCTGTATGTGAGTGAATATTTGTTTGTGTGAATGTTTATTTGCACATTTGTGAGCTTCTTTTGAGTGCATCCTGTTTGCATCAGTGTGCCAGTGTGAGCATGTTCCCAACCAACTGGCTGGAGTTTCCCTTTATGTTTATGTTTCCTGTTTACCGAACACATATAAATGACCGTGTGTGTGTATCTTTACCTTCAGCCTGGGTGGCCACTTTGAGCGCTGCAGAGCTCTCTCCCTGCCCGTTGCTGTTATGGGCCACAACCCTGAAGCGATATTTGGAGTCTGGCATGAGGTTCTGGATGGTGACCTGCATCTCCCCGGGGCGGCTGGTATTCACTACCCGCTCCCTGATGGACACACACACACACACGTGCACAGCAGCAGAACATTTTTAACTCTTGTGAATTCATACATTTAAGAGTGTAAAAAACAAATGTTAAGTTTACAAATGAATAGTGTTGGGTACTAAATGAATGATATAATCTTTGACTGTATTTAAAAGCAAATCCTCAGACTTGGAAAACAGAAAACAGCTAATGTTTGATAAATGACTAATTATTCTGTCCATTAACTAATCAATCAAGTAATTGAATAATGATGAGCATATTAGCACTCATCTGCCTCTACAGCAGAAACCATTTGTTTGTTTGAGGCAAATGGCACATGTGGTTAGTGTAAACATTATTTGTACCCTCCATGTATCCGGATAGATACTTATATATGCATTTACATCTGTAACTGTAGCTCAGAGTAAACACTTCTTATGTATTAGGCCACTTCTGAGAATGACCATTTCATAGGGAAAACATAAAACGTAGCCAAAATGCTGAAGAGTAATTGTGGAAAATCCTCTCAGCTTCTTTCATGTCCTCCTGAATCATACACAGTAAATCCTCTCCACAAGACGCTGGGGGAAATTATCACAGAGCTGCTTAAACAAAGTGTTTGGACTGAATTGTTTTGTTTATACTTGAATGTAAAAAAAAAGGTAATCCTTTGAGGAAGGAAGGTTGTTTTTAATTAATTAACATTTACTGCTATGATAAGTGCTTTAATTAGGCATTTCCAGAGTGGTCTGGTATGCATGGTGCCCTGCCGACTGCAGCAGTAATGTGTGTATTAGTACCCTCCTGGCAGTACTACAGTTTAGTGTGTGTACTACCTGCTGGTGCCCTCCTGGCTGTAGAACACAGAGTAGGTTAACTCGTCTCCGTGAGGTTCGGCTGGCGGGCGCCAGGTCAGCTTGATGAAGCGAGTGGAGACCAGCGAAGCCACGACGTCTCGAGGGGCGGAGGGGGAGGGCCCCGCTGGACCGGCTACACCTCCGGAGCCTGGCGTTACATGGTCAGTAGTGTTAGGAGTCAGTGAGGGGGGGGGGAAAGAGGGCAGGGCTACATCTTTGGGTTTGGAGGAGGAGGGTGGAGGGAGGTTTGGGTGCAGCGAGACAGGGAGGGGCAGGAGACAGTGGCAGTGTGGGAGAGGGTGAGAGAAAAGTCACGCAGAGGCGCCCGAAAAGGAACAGGTCGAGGAGAGGAAAGGGGTTGGAATGGAAATGACAGTGAAACGAAAGAAAGGAAGGAAACAAAAAAAGAAGAAAAAACAAAATAACAACAACGTAACAAAAACTGCCTTTTGGCGTGACAAGGAACCACAGAAATAAAACACTTCTACTACACTCACACAGCTGACAAATAAAGCACAATACAAGGGGGACTACACATGCAGATCTACACACAGCTCTCTAATGTAAGGGTAGTGCGAGCAGAACATAGCGTTAAACATTTAATTCTAAAAAGACGGCTTTTCCGCCAATCATTTGTGATTAAAAATGATTGGTTAGCAGTTTTGGGTAGCATTTAAAACTAAAAACTGGCATACACAGGTAGAGTTTGTATGAATGGGACAAATACACCTTCCAAATGCACACAAGAAAACCATATGTTCAGGGAATTAAACATATTTTTTCAGACACAGTAAAACAACTCAAGTCTAACAATAAAGTTTATTCTGAAGTCTAAATTCTCTCAACTAACACCCCAGATGATATTTTTTATACACTTTTTCCACCACATTCCACAGGCTAGCCACAGAAATGTTTGTGATTTCATTTGGTGGTTGTTTTATTTTGGAGGAACAATCTGCGGTCAGACTGAGCCAGATCTGCTTTCCATTTGCCTGGCAAGTGGGCGAAACGAAAGCATACGGAAAGAATGTCAGTCTGTATGACATTTCCATTTGTTGCGGGTCAAGAAAATTGACAGGAGGGCAAGGCTAAAATACAGAAAAGGAGCAGGAAAAGTGCAGTGTGCAAACGGTGTATTATTATTGGTGAAATTGTTTTGAAAAGCAAAGTGACCGCTGGCCTATTTGTCTGTCGTTGCATGTGAGCTAACCACTAACCCAGCACTCAATATTTGTTTACATTTCAAACTCCCAGTTCACTGACTTCTGTGATTGGAGTGATATGAAGCATTTGCTGCTATTTTGGTCCACGTACACTTTTTCCCTTGCCATTGCGCACACACTGTGATCAATAACGCAAACCTCTGAAGGAGTGTTTACTTTTATATTAATGTCACAGTGTTCATTTCTATATAAGTTTACATGTGTGTGTGTTTGTTTTCAAGCGCAGTCTTTGGCAAATGACACCTTTTGAGTTGTGTTGGCTCCGTACTTCAGCACCTTGTATTTTAAATCAAACAATGATTTATGAGGTAAAGGTGCTGACTATAATATTTCATTTCAGATTATTTGACACAAACCTAAAACAAAATCAATTCCTCTTTTATGAGGTTTGGTTGCAAAGTCGATGTCTGGCAGAGGCTACAGCAGATATGAGCACACTCAATATCTCCAGGCCGCCTTCAGTCAGGTTTTTGGCAAGCAGGAATCAGATGGATTGATTCAGGTGACTGATGGCCAGTCGAGATTATTCCACAGGTTGGCAAACACTTTTAATGCCTAGTCTGTATTTTTTGTAGGAAAAGGTTGGGCGATTAATGTTCATAAAGGGATAGGACTAGTCACCCAACAACCTTAAAGTTGGACGTCAACACTCAAAGCTACTGATTCATAACAAATCCAGTTAGCTGGAATCGAGCCAAAAACTGAGGAAAACATATAATTGCCCTAATACTCTTTGACTGCCGTGTAAATTACCAGATGCTGAACCATTATCACACACACACACACACACACACACACACACACACACACACACACACACACACCACACACACACACACACACACACACACACACACACACACACACACACACACACACACACACACACACACACACACACACACACACACACACACACACACACACACACACACACACACACACACACACTTCTGGTGTCCTATCATGAGGCCATCACTACATGACAATAAGCCGCTTTGGAGGATAAACAAAGAGCTTGAGGCCTGTTTGTTGTTGAGGAAGCACTTTCCTGCATAACTAAATTGTGAAGGGAACACAATCCCAGGAACGTATTGGATTATAAGTGGCGAGAATACACAGCAGATACTGTCACAAATTACTATTGGAGACTAATTTCCAGACAAAATAAACACATAAAACACGTTAAAACACTATCAAAACAAACAAAGTGAAACACTAAATGTAATGTTGGGAATGGTTTACACAGAAAGGAAATAAGGGTGAAAGATCAAGAAAATAAATACAGTATCTAAAATGCAGTCAAAATATTTGAAGAAATCCTGCTGCTAAACTGAGGAATAGCAGACCAAAACACAGACGTTGAAATGACTGACTGACTGACTTTCTTACCAACTTAATAACACAATAAAGGCATGTGATATTATAGTTTGTAGTTGCAGCTGCAGAATAATGCATTTAGACCTCCATGTAAAACATTTCTTATCTTTGTGGTCAGTAAAAAGATGAGATAAAACACATAGGAAATCAGCTTGGCACCTCTAAAGTTAAGGTTCCTTGAAATTGCTACTATACTATACAAGAAGGACGGGATCCCATGTGTGCAAATGGAGTTTATTTTAGTTTAGCGTATTCTGGAGTAGAGCCACCGCTTGTTGACTGAGACAAAGGAATGAAGGCATGACAGAAGTGGAGCCAAGCTTTCAGACATGTATGTGCAGACACATTTAGAAAGAAAAGCTCCACTTTGGCTTTGTTCCTAAAGGCGTACAGAACTGTAATACAGGAGGAATTTGAGTGAAAAGCAAATATAAAGTGGGGCTGTGGAAGAAAAAGGTTTCACAGTTGGGTAAAGCAGTAAGGAATACAGCAGTTCAGTAAAAAAATTGCCTGAAATCAGTGCCAGGTCAGACGTAGAAATATAGTATAGCCTGATGAGACATGCATTGTGGGATAGGCAAAGGGTCATTAGATGTAGTTTCTATCTTTATACACCTTGTCAGCTGTAGGTAATTGACATGCGGGGCAGTTTTCGGTGTCCTTCTGACAATCTGTCTTGTACTTGCATGCCTAAAACTGTTACTGTAAGAAGGCGTCAGCCTCCCACTGCCTCTGCCAAGCTCTTTTCATAGCTGATTAATAGTGCCATTAGTCTCTGTGCCAGAGGTAATGAATGGCTGGCATTAAGGCTTAACGAGGAAGGTTACTCTAGATCTGCATAATAAATCTGGGAAACCAATACGCAAAACAGTCAAGACAAAGACATAGCAAAGCATTCATCTTAATATTCACCGGAAGCAAGAGCCCTTTCTGAAATTTAAATAATTGGAGTAGCACTAAAGTTCTGATTAAAGCCTCATAACTTTTATCTTGTGCTGCTAACTCCAGCAATCCTTTGCTGTGCTCCCCAGAGAGTTTAGCTAAGCAGTTTTTTCATCATCTGGTCTGAGTGTAAAGATAAGAGAGCCTACCTCAGTGGCTGAGACTATACACCTCCACCAAGAGAGCAGAAATCTATTGAATGCAGATATCTGCCAGGAGCACCCACAGCACTGTAACTACAGATATCCTTTTTCAGAGGGAATTCAGCAGGCCATGCCAGGCTCTTGCTAAATGGATTTCCTCAGAACTAGTTTCCATGCCCTAATGTGGTTCAGTAATGATGACTGCATAGGAGACAGATCCTGCACAATGCTAATGGTCCATTACTGAGTCACCACTTTTATCTGCCTTAGAAAATAATAAAGGAAGAATGAACAATGTACTCCAAAAGCCTGGACAGAGCCCTCAGAAAACCAACAAAAAAGCTGGCTGTCGATTAAGTCTCTTTCTGCTTCATGCGAACATGCCACAGTCGCACGAGGAGAAAATGTGGGGAGCATATCTCTGGGCGTGCGGTTGAAATACATCAAAGGTGATTTCTTCTGAAGAAACACAAAACAGCATAGAGGCATTCTTTTTTTTAAATGTATAGGTAATGTAAGCATTGACACTTCTCACGTAAATGTGGTGGAAATCAGCTGCCTTCTCAGAACAACTGCTGACAACCATAGATGCACTCCCTCTACAATCTTGTTATTCTCGCTCTCTTCCTAGATAAGAATGGAAAGATGAGCAAGCCTGACAGCTCATGACATTTGAGCGGCTCCTTAACGCGCCGACAAAAGAAACTGAGTCAGAAAAAGAAGACAAATGTTTCAAGTGGAGACAGAGAGATGTGAAGAGAGAGATGGTGGAGTGAGAGAAAGAGGCTGACCTGACTCTTGAGTTTCTTGTCGGAAACAATAATAAGCTACATTTTGGCCACCATTTTCAACACTGACAAAGTACTTAAGCAATACTACAATCAATAAACAAACCTTTATATAAACAATAAAAAGCAATACATGAATCCACAAGGGGAGATAATAACACCCTGCTAATTTCACCATAGCATAATGCGTTGTCAGGTGAGAGATTTGACTTTCGGACCTTTCCATCACCTTATCGCTGGAGGGGGCTGAGATAGAGTATCAGATAGGGGGAGCATATCAGTTACTGCACACGCTCTCTCGCTAAGATAATCAGAGGCAGTCGGGATTAAAGTCCAACACGAACCTCACAAAGGCTAAAACTGACAATGAAAGAAAAAGAAAATCTTTGAGTCACAGACTGTTTCTCCAAAGAAGTGAAACAGGATCCCTCCACATTCCTCCGTATCACTTTCTAGGGCACATTCACCATCATCGAAAAAATGTTTGAAATCTGTAATGTTCCCCAGGCGAGAAATAAGCTTTTATTAATTAAAAGAAATACATGGCAATCCCAAAAATGAATGTTCTCCTCATTAGGTCTTGAGTGGTTGAAATATTTTTCTGGAACACCTTATCTGTGATGAAGATGCTGGTGGTGGGGCCAGAGGGGACACATCAAAGTCAGACAAATTAGAAGAAATTACTTTGATGGATCGGCACTGGTAAGGTCATGTACAGAATATTGAAAAATGGGACAT